GGAACAAGAAGCTACTAGGAACAAAGGGCATCGCTACCAGGAGCAAGGACGCCACTAGGGGCTCCTGGCCTTACTACTAGGAGCAAGGTTCGCGACTAGGAACAAACTACGAAAGGAGCAAGGACGCTGCGAACGTAGCTCCTGGCCTTGCTGGTAGTAGCAAGAAGCTATTAGCTGTCCAGTGACTTCAAGGAATTCCGGTGGAGTTCTCTTACGGGTCCGTCTGGGTCCGTCCTTCTCCGGGATGGTTGGATCGTGGATCAGGTCCACCTGGCTGAAGAGTTCAAAGGCGTCCGTTTGCTTCGCGTGCCGAGCACCCTTCGTCTCTCCGAGCTGTCGGCCATGTTGATCCGCAGCCTGCGGCAAAATGCTTTGGCAGACCTCTCCCCAAGCGAGTTCGCACAGCACTTTGGCTTCAAACAAAAACACCTTCAAAATGCCGAGCTTTTGAGTGCTAAAATCAAAGAGACGGTGTCCACTTTGCCATCAAGTGTGTCCGTCACTCGTCAATTTGATGTAGACCTGCCTCTTCCACACCTTTAACCAGCATGCATGTTGGTTGGAAGTCTGAAGAGTGCTTCACAGAGGAGCTCTTTCGTTTGAGACGCTGAGTAGCATCTTTCGGCCTCTTTGTGGGGCTGACTGCAGCACTGTCGTTTTGGAATTGAGAGTCTTACAAGGTGCTCATGGAGGCTCTACAAGCCGGACGATCTTCCCAGATCTTCGAGCATGTCCTCGCAATCATCCTTTGGCGCGGTGTCAGACGGAGCAGGGCAGCTTAGAAATCGCTTCGTGATTTGATGGCAGAAATCAAGGAACTTGACTTCACTGCAAGCTTCAGTCATGGTTGCAAGGACTTGCTTGACGATGCTCGACAAACTTTTGAAACAGACATCGAATCATGATGGTATGTGTCCCTTTCTCACTCGTCATTTCTGGCTAAGGTCGCAGCAGTAATTTCCAAGGTGAAAAGGAAGTCTTTGGGCAGCAGTCCAGACTCACCTCCTCGCAAGAGTAGACGTCTGAGCGGTGCCAAAGAACCTTGGATGATATTGGCAGAAGATGCATGTACATTCTCACCCCTAAACGGATTCATTCTCACGATCCTTGCAGCTTCTGCTGGCATGTTCATGTCCAGTATGGCCCACAGAACATGCATGTACACCACTAGAAACTCCGGTGCAGCACTTTTTCACAGGACTTTTCTCAGGTGCAAGTTGTCCACCCCCACCACACCATGGGAGTTGAAAAAAGGTACTGTAATTTTCCTGATTGGGCCATCAAAGGACTGCAAGCACATGTCACTGGCGCAGACAGAGAGTGAGAGAGAGAAAGCAAGATAGCAACATATTGCAACAGTTTCGGAGATAGGCTCAATGACCCAAGGCTTCTCCAATCTGCAGGTCTTTTATTGTCCAAGATTGTCATGCGTTCTTTGAGCGTTCCGTTCATTCTTGGGCATTATGCTTTCGTAGTTTGATTGCTGACTACACCGAGGCAGACTTGGACGACACCATGTTCTTGGGCGACCTGCTAGCACAACATCCCGAGCCACAAAGTCGATATCAGTGGAAAGCTGAGTGATTGTCTAGCTAGTCGATGCTTTGCTAGCTAATAATCCTAATTAGAAGCTTCTGGAGAGTTGTACTGATTAATGCAAATGTGTTGGTGTGGCCAGGCAGTTCTTATGCCCAATCTCCATGGACATCATGCAAGATCCCGTGGTGGTCGGCGGAAGCGGCAACACCTATGATCGCAAGTCCATCGAGAAGCATTTCCAACATTGCCATCGCGACCCACTGAACAACATGGAGCTTCGACGCCCTCAAGACAGGAGGCTCATTCCCAACAACCAACTCCGCAGTCAGATTCGTACCTGGGCGGGCACCACAGATTCTACGGACAAGCTATTGAAACTATTTTAACATGTTAGAACATGATAGCACATTCGATGCTATTGTACTTGAGGGTCACTAAGTGAAGTATAGTGAAGTCAGTTTAAGTTATCCAGTGGAAGGTTGCTATCGGCAAGTGGAGGACCGCAGATCTAAGGCGAAGCAGAAATCTCTCGAGTGCAGCTGCGGCTTTCAGCTCATTTGGCCGAAGCTCTTCGAAAACATCCGTTTTGAGTACGTAGTATGGGAACCTGTTTGGAAGAACAGAAGTGCCGGATGCATCCAAAAAGAGAAAGGGATCATGAGGCCGGACCCCCAGAATGTTTTGAAATAGATGGAAGTGTGATTACTTGCCCAAATTGTTCCAATTTGTATTGAAATCGATTCTAGTTCTTTAGGACCGCTTTTGTGTTTGGAAATTCTGGCCTTCCAAATGCCTCACAGCTTCTATCATTCTCTACCTCCTTGATCGCTCTCCGTTGGTTCTTCCAAGTGACCAAGGAACAGCGAAGCTTTTCGAGTGATGCTCCCATGGCAGCATACCTTGGATGGTGTGCATCGCTTCTGAGAGGCTCTTGAGACGCCGTAGGACGATGCCCCACGGTTTTGGGGGGGCGATGTAGGACGATGTAGGAGATCTGGAGAACAGCAGCCAGGAGTTCTGACATGCTTCGATCTTTGTTTACTCAAGCCGAGCCCACGGCCAGAGGTAGCCAAAGGACAGACACCACGGATGAGAAAATTGGATGAGAAGATCTACTCCAGGCTGTCATGCGTAGGAGTGCTTCCAGCTTTGGACATCGGGGTTGACGAGCTCCGTGCCGCTGCACAGGGCAGTCGATTCCCCGCAGGTGTTTTTTACTGCAGCTGTGAAGGGCTGCCTTAGAGAAATGCTCGAAGAGGCATTTCCTGTGGATGTAGGCCAACGATAGACCAATGCATGGAGCTAATGGAGCTTGGGTGAGTAAAATTGATCTCTTTTTTTTCCCAGGCAAAAAGGCTAAAGCTTGCTTGCCATATGAAATGCTGTGATGACTGCCGAGAAAAGAAAGCACTTTGTGTCCGGATCAATTTGCTTCCAACATTGCAAATCACATGGCAATAAATACAGTCAGTTGGCGTTGACCAACAAAGTTCTGACGTCCAGACATCTGCAGATCTTGAGGTCTTCAAGACCTTGCACGAAAATTCATGCAGCTTATAATATAAGCCTGAGGCCACACATCACCGTGTTCCTCAACAAGATGGTGATAGCTGCCACGTTTTGGCAAAGTTCGCCTTCGCCTCAGGGATGGCCAACCTGATGTCCCCTGATGGCCAGGATATGGTTGAAGACATGGAGCTGGTTGATTTGGTGGAGCTCGAGGCCCCCTGATGCCGAGGAGCATTTTTTTCACCTGGCCTGACTGTTTGTGTCTGAAACACGTGAAAGCCTCAATAGCGGAAGATCTTCACAAGAAGAGGAGTTTCTTCATCTGGGGGTTTTCATGGCACAGCCATGCACAGCCGTGTATTTGGAGAACTTGGAGTTCTGCACCGGCAAGTGTTAATGTATGTGCTCAGAACTCTGTCGTTTCAAGAAGACTTGGTCTCGCAGTCGTTCCGTTGCATCTCTGAAGCAAACGACGATATGGCAGCTGTATTGTGGCTCAAGTTGCAGATTTGAAAACATGCTCAACAATCTGTGTGTCTCTTGGCTGTACTACTGTGGCTGTACATTGTGTGACTGTCAGAGCTGGGTATGTCTTGATGATTGATCAGGAATCGGATCAGGGAATGCCCTTGGTATTGTTCTCCGGAAGTGTTGGGTTGGGCATTGTCTTGAAGAGTTTGTAAATCGTCAGGCACGCTCCAGAGGAGGCCACAGACGGATGCGAGCACGAGTGATTTGGAAGGACCCTGACTTGCGAAACTGTGACAACTCCCCTAAAAGCCTCAAAAGAGGTGGTCCAAGCCAAGCTGGTGTTTTGGTCTTACCACTGAAAATCTCAAAAGACAGTTGCGGAACCTCTTCAGCTGTATCAAATGACCTATGCTGTGACAGGAGGGCAGTGGTTGGATCGTGCAAGGCGAGGCTTGCAGTCCGGTGAAGAGTCTCTAAGAGCTTGCTCAGTAGAGTATGTAGAGCGGTTTGAGTCAAGTTCAGACTTTTTGTAACGTTTGACAGTGAGCCTTTGATCTACATATCAAAGTGAAGCTGCCCTTTTTTTGAGCCTCCGACTCACCCATGTTTGTGGTGTTTTGTTGGGTCCAATGGTGGTGGGCGGGTGTCACGTCATTTGCTTATCCCTTTTTTTTGAGGCACCGATGGATTGACCAGGACATCCTCGGGTGGTGCTCATCCTCGGGGTCTCACTTTCCAGCATTCCGAAAGACGTTCTCTTGCTGGGACCGTCGGTCGTGCCTGCCGGCATGACAATTGATTTCCAAAAACAAGCCATGCTTGTCCATGGTCTAACAAAACAGGCGATGAGGATATCGGTTGGTTGGCCCTTACAGCCTGCAAGCATTGTCCCACTGGATTGACCTTTTGAGGACATCACTGCTGCCTAGAGACAAGACAACACAGGCTGTGTGCCAAGGTGTCCCAAGGCCAGCGTTGGTTCTGCATGTACAAGAAGCAGTCACTGGACATTTGTACATATTTGTGTTATTTTGTGTTTGTGTATATATGTTATTTTGGTGTTCTGCTAAATGTCAGGAATTCAGCCCGGATATTTCTTCGTGAGCTTCATACACAACGGCACCAGGGCTCGCAGAACATAGTGCTCCTGGGAGCTATGTTCCCTCATAAGGGGTGTCACTGATTGGGAGGAGAGTAGGCTTAAATGAAGGATTGATCATGCTTTCAAAGGCAGTCCCAGCAAACACATGCTAGTTTTGTGATTCGATGAAACACATGCACCTGTTTGTACTGAAGGCCCATATAAGTTGACCCAGTCTCAGTGCTCATAAGAATTGGTTGACAACGTCTTGCATGGGCGTGTTTGTGTTCGCCACTGCTTGCAACAGTGGAGACCAAGGTATCTGTCAGTGGCACAGAACAATCGCAGCGTACAGGTGGTCATGCCAGAAACTCAGTTTCAACGCAATTTCAGAAGACGCAAACCAGTTGTTCGCAGGGGCTCCATATTGGGCTGTGGGAGAATTCGTGGGATAAGTCCACCTTTCTTGTGGTTGGGAAGACCCTTTATGGGGCGTGTTTTTCATATGATTAAGAAGGTAGCGGGTAGCGATTTCGTGCATGTTTTCACTGATGAGTGCAGCCTCTAAGAAGAGATGGTGGGTTCTGAGGACTCAGCAGCCAGGTTCATTGTTTGTGGCTCACGTGCGTACTGGACGCGAGGCCCAAGCAATGCCGTGTGGGAAACATTCACCATCTTCGGGTGCGAACGGAACCATTTTGATTCGTGAATATTCGTGGTGGCTTTTGGGCACCTTTGTTTTTAGCCCGAGTTGCCCTCACCCTTACGAGCGACTTAATTCAGTAGGCATTTTCTACTTATATAATTAAATAAGGCTAGTGGCTTAGTAAGCTACTAACTACTGGACGCTGGATAGCTCACGTTTCTTCAAGGAAGCACCCCCCGTTGAAGAAGCGTTCACACTATTCATTTGGTTCCTAGATGTTTGAAGAAACTAGCTCAGTAATTATTGGACGCTGAAGATGGCACACGTACATCTGGCTTTGTTTAAGAGAGGATCCAATGCAAGACTTGAAACAATACCTGCGACATGTGTAATATGACCTTTGACCTGCAAGACTCGCAACATGTTGTGTGACATTCAACACACGTGTGACATTCAACTCGGGACAAGAATTGTTCGACTTGATCACCATATGCCACACGACCGATGAAACCTCAGGGCCTGAGAAACCAGGTGTGCAGAGTTGCAATTGCAAGTCTCCAATATTTTACTGAAAAGCGACCGGTGCAAGTGCAAGTGTCCAATCTGTGAGCGAGACACATGAATCGTTCGTTTAGTTTATGGTAGTTCCAAACTGCTAGCAAGACGGATGCATCGCTCTAAGGAGCGAGAACCAGACATAAGAACCGCTCTGTAGTCTAAGCAGCAGTACACATCCATGGCCAGTGGATGCTTCCCTCGCTGATGCGTAGCTTCATTCCACAGCGTAGCATCAGAGAGCTTTGTCCCCTTGCTGAGTATGAACAGATGCCAAAAGGCTCCCAGTCACTCCATGGGTTCCACACACACAGGAGGGTGATGTGAGTTTAGCAGGAGCGGAACCGCATTGGATTCCAGCATGAAGGGCTGCCAGCGTGTGGCTCGTTCTTGCGGGCCCACTGGCACCTTCAGGAGGTCTTTGGCTTCACAGGACAGACCTGATGGTTCTTTTGGCCAACTTTGTGCTCAGGCTGTAGGGTTTTAATAGGTTTTTATATGTCACCATTACGGAACTGGGAGACCCAGGCACCGAGAGTCGTCAAATGCAATGCGATGGCCACTACTTTGACTCCACAGACGAGTTCAAATGGCATCCGGATGCCACTCTCCAGAGCCTTGGCGAGACGATCCTAGCCTTGGAGCAAAAGTGACATGGAGCGACTGTGGCCAGGCATGCGTCCACTGGACTTTGGCTCTATGTGGATCCATCCAAGCCAGAGATCCCAGTGCTGCACGAGATCCACAAGAGTCGTTGGGAGGCGCCTTCTTTTTTTCCAAATGCGGTCAAAATGTGTGGATCGGGTGAGGTGGCGCCCGCCCACACAACATGATCGTGTAGCATCCTGTTGCCTGCCGGAGAGTTGTCCACTCATCCCTGGAGGCTTTGCCCACTACTACTTGAGCCGAGACCAGCTGTTGGGCCACTATGATGCACTTGACTGCTGAAGTTTTACTTTTGATTAAACAATGTTACCAGGCATGCAACAGCGCACCAGTCGCACTTTGCAGCTCAGGATGAACTACATCCGCAGCAGTCTTGTCCTCGGGGCAGTTGAGTAGCACAAATGGATAAAATATGACAAAATTGTTTTTGAAAACTAGCTGTTTGAAGCCCAGGCAGGGAACAGCGGCATGTAGATGTCGGCCGTCTCACCTTGCATACATTTTAAAGCTCAGCTCACATTTTCCGTGTTGCATGGTCGCGTTGCATCCTGCCCTACCTGCCTAGTGGTGGAAACAATGGGCAGGCTGGTGCGCAACAGAAGAATTTGTGTAAGACTGATGCTGGGCCAGAAAAAACATCGCTTCAAAAGAAACGCCCAAATAAAGCAGACAAGCGTCAGTGTGGCCCAGTTTGGTCGCCTTGTACAGAAAGAAGGCCAGCCGAGCCCTGCAAAAGCAGAGCGCTCCTTTGCTTTTAAATGCACATCAACTGGCTGCAAGCTGGATGTATAGTTTCTCCCAGCAACTGTTTTGAGTTTCGCTGGACCTAGGGGCAGCGATGCAGATCCCATTCTGCTCTTTTGAGCACATTTTTCTCTGAACAACATCCACAAAGCCAGCGAGCTTTGGTGGAGACTAAACAGAGATCTCAACCACGTGGAAACATGTGAACACCGAAAAGCCATGAACGCCTCAAAACCTAGATTTGTTTGAAGACGCAAGGCTAGCGCAGAGTCGACAAGCATCACAATTGTTGTGTCTTCATAGAAGCTTGCGACTTGCGAAAGGTCAGGGAGATGCTGGACATGTACCAGTTCCCTGGTGATGAGACGTCAGGGATCCAAGGATCTTGAAGTGGAGCTTGGACTGTTGGTCGGTGAGGTGTAAGCTTGCATTTGAGATTAGAGGAGCTGTATTCATATATGTGTATAATGATGTGCACTTCTGTTGCAAGTCAGGTTGCTTCTACTGTCCTCTCTTTCTGGTACTTGCAAGAAGCACCTGGCCAATGCATTGGCTCTTCAACTCCTTAGGCCTTTCATCAAGGGATCTGCGCTGAAAGCCTTGAATGGTGACACCAGCGAGTACGGAGTTCCAGCCATCAAGAAGTCCCTTGGTTCTCAAGCTGGAGAATGCTGCTGTTGGTGGAAAAAAAGCCCAGAGAGGGAAACCCACAATCTTCCAGTTGGTGCAGGATTCCCATCAACATAGGAACATTTTGGAGGTATTCGGTATTCACAGCAGCTGCAGGTTGATGGAAGCTGTGGATGGGCATTTCCCGGATCCAGAAAGGCGGTGAAAACATGGTGATACAGCTGCGGTGGGTCCGCTGAACTCGATTCTCGACCAGGGACGTGGACAAGCCCTTCCTGATGGGAGTCGAAAGCGCGAATGGCTCAGAATAGCATAGTGTCAGAATACAATCAAAGTGTCAGGTTGGATGGGTCTCTTCTGGTCCATTTCGGGTCGGTCTCTCAGGTCATGAGCATTACCGGCAAGGGCACTGTGGCCACTGGCCGGATAGAGCGTGGCGTGGCGAAGTCGGGCGAGAGCATTGAAATCGTCGGCTTGAAGGACGGGCCTGGGCTCGGGAATGGAATGAAACGCTTGATCCAGATGATTCCGGATGTAGATACCTGGAGCAAACTGGTGGAGGACAAGAAGGAGAAAGCCACCATCGCAGGCATTGAGATGTTTCACAAGACCCTGGACGAGGGCCAATCAGGAGATCAGTGGGGAAGCCTGGTGCTTTACAGCATCTTGTTTGGAGTGAAGCGGCCTAATTATGTCATCCTATTTTGCCTTGGACATCATGATATCATAGAGAGAAGAGAAAGATCTGCAACGCCTAGGTGTGGCATCATGTTGAAGGGTGTGAAGAGAAATGAGATTCAGCGAGGGCAGGTCCTTGCTGCTCCTGGCACCGTGAAAACGTCCGAGCCGCAGATGAACGAGAGAGACTGGCAGAAGGTGTAATCTAAAGTCTCCCCAAAGTTTGAATTTGGGACATGTAATTCTGTGATAACTTGGGACTGCATCAGTCTAGGGAGGTCAGGACTTGAGCTCCAAGAAGCTTCCCACTTGGACGTCGACGGAGTCGATGGAGGCTGAATGGACGCTGAGTTGATCGCTGAGGTTTTCAAAGTTTGACGCTGACATTTACGCAAGCAACTCAGATATGTGTCGTCCGTACGCATCAAGGACGCTGTCCGAAGGCAAAGTTGAGGAATTCGGCACTCGTTAGACTTTGGGAGTAATCATTAGACCTTGCCAGCTTCAGGGTTTGCTTCCCATAACAATTCACCGATTTCTCGCTTCTCGCCATTGCTTTAGGTCCTAAAAGAAGATGAAGGAGGTCGAAAGAAACCCTTCTTCTCCAGCTACAGGCCACAGGCCCTCCTGTATTCATTTGTCCTCCTTGGCCCCGTCACGTGATCCTCGAGTTCATTCTGGTTTGGTGGAACAAGATATATAAGATGTTTGTTGAATTACTGTATATAGATGTCTTGTGGTCCTTACATGTCCAGATCCGTGCACTCACTCACTGTGTGTTGCCGGAGACAGAAGATGCCAGGCATTTATCAGAACTGGCACTGTGACGGTGGAAGTGCTGTTGCCAGAGAACGTCGCCTAGCCATGTTTGTATGCCAAGAGCTAATTCCGGAATTCAAACTCTGCACAGGTTGAAATGGCAATGCCGGGAGATTCCCTGTCAATCAGCCGATCACTGAGCTGCGACTCAACTCCGATGGATCCAGTTAATGAGTCTCCCCATGCTAAGGAGATCCAAAAGATCAAGACATGGAAAAAGGGTTTAAACGGTTTAAACCTTATGTAGCGACCGACCTTCCAGGTAGGTCAATGACCTACAGATGACCCACATGTTCTGCGAAACGATGCTCGTTCTCAGGCCTGGTGGCAGAGAAGCCCATGGCTTTGGAGGAGGGGTCTGGGCCTGAGTCAGCCCGAGTGATGAACATCCAACAGTCGACGGGTTTAGACAAATGCAAGGCTGGATCCAAGGGACCCAAAAGACCCAAGTGTCTAAGCTTCCAGACAAGGGGCCGCTTCTAGACCTTTCGGGGCCCACCGGAGGTTCAAGGGTTTCGTGAGATGTGGAGGAGGTTGCAGAAGAGGACCCATGAACATACTCATCATTCCACAATGTTCCACAGCTACCAACTACGAAGACTAAGGCTTCGCTTTGCCCTGCGTGAAGGAGGTCTTACAGTAGGCGGGCTTTACTCTGCTGTCCTCCAGGGTAGCAAGTTGTGGCCATCCTGGAGGTTCCAGGAGCCTCAGCACAGATTCGCAATTCACTTCAACTAATTCGTAAGTGCACAATGCTGGATCTTCAGATCTTGCCAGGTTCTGGCATCATTACCAAGTGCTACTAGGCCTGCTAATGCCAGAGTTGCGGGTGGAGATCGGAAGTTGAACAAGCTGCAGATATTCCGAACGCATTTTGATTTGTTTATGGAATGAATCTGGCAAGCGATTGATACCGCTGAACCGCTGATACCGCTGCGATCGATCCTCCAAGATCCGAAACAAAGAAGCATTTGTGCAGAAGAAGTGGATGTTTTTTTGGTACATACTCGAGCAACTTGAAGTGATTGAAAAGAAAATACACGAAAGAATTCAGGAAGATCCTGAGTAGTTCAAGGTAGATGACCTCCATGAAGCCGTGTATATGAACTTCACAAGCTAGCAAATGCTAGCAGAATGGCTGATAGGACGCGAAACTCCCAAACTGCATTCGCGAAAAGACACTACGTTTTGGAGGGTCTCGGAATGAATGGTCTGGCAAAGTGTCAAAACGGATTGGATCGGTTGTAAAATGTTTGCGCGATTGATGAAGATGGTACTGATGAGTTCAATACGAATATTAATACATGTGTACTGGGTATTACACGAGGAACGTTTTGGTTCGTCCAACTAAGAAAATTCTGTAAAGGGTACAGTATGCATGGAGTGCTTAGAAAGGAGGAGGTTTATAGCAGAATGTGGAAGGGAAATAGGGGTGTGCCATGGATAGGCAATTGACAGACAGATCACGGGCAATTGACCAGTTGAAGAGCTATTTTGATCCTCCTTCTTTGTCCCTTCGTCGCAGGGGAACAGACCGCTCAACGTTGAGCGCTTTGTCGGCGAAGTCGCTGGTGTTTGGCCACCGGAGATGCAACTGGTGCTTTTGGCAAAGCGCCACAATGTGCAAGCGTTCAGCATTGTTCTTGATATCTAATGTCAGGAATGGACACTATGTCTATCTATTTCTGTAGGATTGATACTTCTTGTGCCAGATGTATCTCAAGCCCCCAGACACTTTCGAAGCATCAACGTTCGCACTTTCCAATGCTCACATATAGTGCTGGCGCGGACTCCGCGGGAAGCAGCACTGAGCTTGTTGAGAGTGGCAAAGGGGCTATAGAGGGAGCGTTCCCTGTTTTTCCGGGCCCGCTACCATGACCCAAAACAACCAAACAAGGGATCTACAATCCCCCATAAGGATCAAAGGGTATAAAACAGAAAAGTCAAAATAAATTTGTTTCGTAGAACGTAGAATACCATCCCTGTGTACATTCCAAAATAATGTTAAATAACTAAATAAATAACATTGATTATAAATGTATGGGTTTATTTATAATGGAAATTATTTGATTTCTTATTAGATAATTTAAATTAGTGAAATACTAGGTACTAGCCTCAAGTCGACTCAGCTTGTGTAAAGTCTATTCGGAACCGTGTGCCCTTGTAGAACTGCACTTCACAGGAATGCCTAAGTATAGATTGTATTGATCTATAACACATGTTTTTGTGTTGTACCCATGGTGTGCCTGATTGCCACTTGTTTGTATTTATGAGGCAATTTCCACGAGGGTGAAGGGTTAAGGATAGCTCTTTGGGCCCATGCCACAATTGCAAGGATCTTCGGGCCAAGCTGGTCTTCTGCTGGGTTGCTGATGCTGTTGCTGGCTGGCGGCTGGTTTGCTGTTGCTTCCGCTGCCGCTGTTGCCGCTGTTGCTGCTGCTGCTGCTGCTTTTGGTTGGGTGCTGCTGCTGCTGTGCTGGTTGGCGTCACAATGTGATTTGCTTGCCCTAACTGCTTTGCAAGGACTTTCGCGTTTGGATGCAAGTGTTTTCGATGGGTGTATAGCCCTATTTACAGCTATTTATCCCGATGCTAATTTATTATGGGGCGATACAGTGGGGCAGCCGCGCGGAAATTTAAGAGGAATAAATAGAACCTCTATAAGATGCCGCGAATAAGGGGTACAATTTTACAACAGACATCCAATGATGGAGACTCTTGGTCTGTAGCAAGCCGTGGAGGGTGGCGATTCTTTAAGGCGCTAGGATTTTAACAGGCGTTCGTAACCGGGGACAAGGTTACCGAGCAGAGTGTGCAGGAGTGGCGTTGAGGATAATTTAGCGTAGCGATGTATCTATTCCTTCGGCAAGGATTTTTAATGAAGGTCCTATTGGACCGCACGTCCGAAATATTCGTTGGTATACAGATGGGAACGATGGAGGATTTTCTCCGAATCTATGAAATAATCTCCATTTTTATAGATAATCGGCGGTTGCCCGAGAATGATCGTAATATTTTAGCAATAAGTCGCGTCTTTAGGGTTAATGCGTTACTTTCCGTAGATCTTATTAATATTCTTATGATTTTTGTAGAAATTATTGATTAAGATTATTAGGTAGGTCGAAATATTAATTGCATATATTTATTTGTATAAATATTCGT